GTGTTCACAAAGACCATTATTATTATCCTCTCGCATTATCCCTTATGCATCCCAGGGGCTCACCAGCATTTTATTCTGGTGAATTTCAGTTACAGCTCATCCAGAAAACTTTCCATCCATTTAGGCCCTGTTGCTTGAGCCTATCCTACATTAAGCTGAGCTGGGATGCAATACTGTACTGAAATGCAAATGAACTAAGCTTAATCTTGACCTCTCACATCAACTTCACACAAAGGTACAACCCCCTGATTGGAAAAGCCTTGTGCTAGGTGCCTGTAAAAGGCATCTACTTAGGGCTGTCCCTTGATACTCAGTGGTAGACTGCAACTGTACATGGAAACTTCTCTGGGCAGTCGTGGCCCCTGAAGCATAGTCCTCTTCCACGATTTTGTCTCCTGAATCCCTGGTCAATCTATTTTCTGCCATTCATTTCTCCAATCCCTGGTACAGACCCAACTTGCCGGCTCTTTCAGCAACCAGCCTACCCTGCAGAGCTGACTTCTGCAACTGGCGCCCTCCAGAAACGCTGGAAAGCCACCTCAGCTACGGGATGATGGGAATCATAGTCCTGTAAACCTGTGAACCATCCCTTGGGGGGAACCGATATGAGGAAACGATTTCCCCCCTTGCTGTCAGGGTCTTGCGCCCGACCCCCTTTCCCAACCGCCCTTCCCCAACCTGGCGCTCCCCAGCTCCTTGCGCTAGAGACTACCACCCCCATCTCTCTGGCTCACAGACAGGTTCCAAAGCCTGCGGCGACGATGGGAGTTGTAGTCCTCCGCCTCTGACAGGTTGGGGGAGGGTCTCGAGGGTCCCCCTGGCTCCGTGACGAGGGAGGAGGCGCCTCCTGCGGTGACGGAGACCCCACCCCATCTTCTACACAGCGCAGGGGGGTCCCATGGGTGGCCCCCCCGACGGAATCCGGGCGCCCACCCCCCCACGGAGCCCTTCCCCTGCAGCCGAGACTCACCCGCCTCTCCCCCCCGCCGCCTGCAGGTTACATAATAATGCCCCCCTCGCTCTCCACACCCCCTCCCCCCCAGTGTGACACCTATATAATGTATAGGCGGCGCCCTCCCCCCTCCCGCCCTCGACAGGCCTCTCCGCATCCCCACAGCGCCGCGGCACCTTGGCTTGAACGGTGCTCTCGGGACCCCCACTTGGTGGGCCGCTCGCCGCGGCCCCATAAGCGGCCCCGATGCCCCCTCTGCTCTCCCCGCACCCCTCAAATAAGCCTTGCAGCCGCGAAGGCGGTCAAGTATGCGGGCCTCACCGCCGGCGCGACGCCATGGCAACGACTCCCGCCGCTCCGGCCGCCATATTTGTTCCTCCTCTCCCTCCCGCCCCGCGCCTTGAGTTGCCCGGACCACAGTCGGCTTCGCGAAGGCCGTCTGCGCAGGCGTCGTCACGAGCTCGCCGAATCCCGCGCGCGCCGGCGCAAGGGGAGCCGGCGTTCGAGAGTGGCGCATGCGCAGCTCCTCTCTTTTCGCTTGCCTGTTTCTGAAACGTCATAGCTGCTTCTGTTCTCCTCCGCCCAGCATGGGCCACGCTCGTCTTCCGTTGCCGTGGCAACAGGAGCCGCTTTCCGGGAATTTAAAGAGGCAGTCGCGTTTTTAAAAGTTGCTTATAATGTATTAACTAGCCTTTCTCCAATGGGATTCCTCGTAGGATTCCTTTATTTATCAATAAAACATTCCTATTAATCTGCTGCACCAAAAATAAAGAATGGGACATTTGGTTGCCTTCAAGATTAACCCATTAGGACACAAATCAGGGGAAAACACTGTACAGTCATGTAATTCCCAGAATTCCCTGTCAAACTACCCAGGAATTCTGGGAGTTTTAGTCCTGCAGGGCTCCAGCTACAGAGAGTCTCAATACCCCAGGGTTTCTCAACCTTGGCAACTTTAAGACAGCTGGGGAATTCTGGGAGTTGAAGGCCACCCGTCTTAAAGTTGCCAAGGTTGAGAAACCCTGCAATACACTGCAGGGGGTTCCAGGACACAGGAGACGCCTCCCATGCTTTTTCCTGCCCCCCCATTGTCCCCCACCCCCCGCTTCCCAGGTGCGGATCTGATTTAAAAAACCACAAAACCACTCATCCCCTTTCTGACACTCTTCAAGCTGGGAATGTCCCCCCCTCCCAGCCTTCTCCACTATCCGACAGTCAGGTATACAGCCTCTGACCAGGGAGGCTCTATT